CTACATTGCTGAATTTATTATTTTTGGTGTTTTTCAATGGAGTTTTGGGGGTCTTCTATGTAGCGTATCATGTCATCTGCAAATAACGATAATTTAAGTCTTTCTTTTCCTATCTTTACCCCTTTTATTTCTCTCTCTTATCTGATTGCTCTGGCTAGTATTTCCAGTACTGTGTTGAATAGGAGCAGTGATAAGGAATGTCCTTGTCTTGTTCCTGATTGTAAGGTAAAGGCTTTCAGTTTTGGGCCATTTATTATGATACTAGCTGTTGGTTTGTCATAGAGGGCCTTTATCATATTGAGGTAAAGACTATGTGTTCCAATTTTCTGTAAGGTTCTTATCATGAATGAATGTTGGACCTTATCAAAAGCTTTTTCTGCATCTATAGAAATGATAGTGGGAGTCTTACTTTTGGCTTTATTGGTATGGTAGATTACATTTATTGATTTGTGTGTGTTGAACCATCCCTGCATGCCTGGGATGAATCCCACTTGGTCGTGGTGCATAACCTTCTTGATGATTTGCTGCATCCTGTTTGCCATATTTTACTGAGGATTTTTCATCTGTGTTCATTAGGGTGATTGGACTATATTCTCTTTTTCAGTTGGGTCTTTCTCAGGTTTTGGTGCAAGAGTAATGTTTGCTTCCAGGAATGACTTAGGAACAATGCTTCCCTTTTGATTTCATTGAAGAGTTTGAGGAGTGTCACCATTAAGTCTTCTTTGAATGTCTTGTAGAATTCTGCAGTGAATCCATCTGGGCCTGGGCTCTTCTTTGTAGGTAAGGACTTAATTACATTTTCAGTGTCATTAATTGAAATTGACTTATTCAGCACTTTTACATCTTTTTGACTCAGCTTTGGTACTTCATATGTTTCTGGAATCTGTCCATTTCTTCTGTATTATTGAATCTATGAGAGTAGAGGTTTTCAAAATAGGTGTTGGTGATCTGTATTTCTATAGAGTCTGTAGTGATTTCTCCTTTTTCATTTCTTATTGCATAAATTTGAGCTTTTCTTTCCCTTTTTTTTAATAGGGTTGGCTAGTAGCTTATCAGTTTTATTTATTATTTCTTTTTTTTTCTTTTGTCTTTTTCCTTTTGATTGGTACCAGGGATCAAACTCACGACTGCCTGATTGCAAGGCAGGCGCTTATGCCACTGAGCTAGATCTCCAGCCCCTATTTATTCTTTCAAAGAACCAACTCTTTGATTCATTGATCCTTTGGCTTATTTTCTTAGTCTCTATTACATTGATTTCTCCTCTGATTTTTATAATTTCCTCTCTTCTTTTGGCTTTGGGCTTGACTTGCTCTTCTTTTTCTAACTATTTGAGGTGTAACATCAGGTTGTTTATTTGAATTCATTCTCTTTTCCTGATGTGGGAACTCAGTGCAATAAATTTTCCAATGAGGATGGCTTTCATTGCATCCCACAGGTTCCGGTAAGTTGTATTTGTATTTTCATTTTCTTGTAGGTATTGTTTAATTTCTTCTTTAATTTCCCCTGTGACCCACTGATTACTCAAGAGTGTGTTATTCCGTTTCCATGTGTTTGTGGGATTCTTGCAGTATCTCTTATCATTAATTTCTAATTTCATAGCGCGATGATCCAATAACATGCAAGGGATAATTTCAGCTCTTTTGCATTTATTTAAATATGTTCTGTGAGCTAACATATGTTCTATTTTAGAGAATGACCCATGTACTGCTGAGAAGAATATGTATTCTGATGTTGTCACTTGGAACACTCTGTATATGTCTATCAAGTCCATTTGTTCACAGGTGTTATTCAGTTCTGTTATTTCTTTGCTGATTTTTCTATCTGGTTGATCTGTCCCTTAGTGTCAATGGTGTGTTAAGATCTCCTGTTACAATTATGTTACTGATAATTTGGTTTTTCATTTCTGTTGATACTTGTTTTATATAACTGGGTGCTCTGGAATTTGGTGCATATATATTTAAGATAGTTATCTCTTCCTCTTGAAGTTTTCCCCTAACCAGTATGTAGTAACCCTCTTTATCTCTTCTGATCATTATTGGTTTAAAGTTCACATTGTATGCAAACAGGATGACTACTCCCGTTTTTGTTGTTGTTGTTGTTGTTGTTGTTGTTGTTGTTTTTTGGCAGTGCGGGTTCCTGTTGCATGAAGTATTGTTTTCCATCCTGTGGCTTTCAGTCTGTGAGTATCCTTTTGGGTTAGATGGGTTTCTTGTAGACATCCTATGGTTGGATTTTGTTTCTTGATCCATTCTGCCATTCTGTTTCTTTTAATTGGTGCATTGAGACCATTTACATTAATGGTTATAACTATTTTATGTTGATTTATTTGTGACATATTATCTTTCTGCTGTTGCATCTTTATCTTTCTGTTCTGTTTAATTGTCTGCTTTGCTAAGTGGTTTTTTCCTAAGTGTATCTAAACTGTCTTTCAATATTCTTTGCAGGTTTTCCTTGTGATCATGGAGTTCTTCAGCTGTTCTTTGTCATGGAAGTATCTTATTTCTTCATTGATTTTGAAGGACAGTTTTTCAGGGTACATCAGGTTGGAAATCATTTTCCTATAGGATCCTATAGGATCTGGAAGACTTCACTCCATGCTCTTCTTGACTTTACTGTTTGTGTTGAGAAGTCTGCTATGATTCTGATAGGCTTTCCTTTATAGGTGATCTGTATTTTCTCTCTGACAACTTTTAATATTCTATTCTTATGTTGGATTTCTGGGATGGTGATTATTATATGTCTGGGTGTAGTTTTATTCTGGTTATGACTATTTGGAGTTCCATATGCTTCACTGATTCTGATGTCAGTTTCCAATCTCATGTTTGGGAAATTTTCAGCTATTACTTCTCTAAATATCCTCTTGACATCCTTTATATTGTCCCCTTCTTTTTCATTAATCCCTATCAATCATATGTTGTTTTTCTTTGCATCATCTTGCAGTTGTTGAATTGTTATTTCCTAATTCCTTGTTATTTTTAAAAGAGCTTTGCTTTCTTGTTCACTATCTGTGATCTTGTCTTCGAGGTCTGAAATTCTGTCTTCACTTTCGTTGAGGTGGTTTTTGCAGCTTTCAATGGATTTTTTGATTTCCTGTATATCTCTGTGCATCTGCTTTATGTATTCTGTTTCTTATATTGCTCATCCAGGGATTCTATCTTTTTAGTTTAGTTACTCCAATTTTTAATTGTGTATTGTTTAGATATGTTTAGCATCTCCTTTTGCTTCTTTTATCATTTCTTCTTTTAGCTGGGATATTATTTCTAGTTTGGATTCCTTTAAAGATTCCTGGAGTTGTTTCTTTATTTCAGTTGCTATTATGTCTGATATTTCAGGTGTCGATATATATTTTCTTCTATGTACATTGCTCCTAGGGTTTTTTTTTTTTTTTTTTTTGATGGGTTGGAGGTTTGAGATTGTAATTTGGTCTTTGATTTTGTCGTTTTCCTATATTTCTGTGTTTCAAGTGTTATTCCAAGGTTTCCCCAGGGTCTGTTGGAAATCTTCTTCTATGCCCTCAGCTCCTTGGACTCTGTCCACCCAACTCCTTAGATTGAGAGAGGGTCACTGGGTGTGGGGCAGGCCATCACAAGCCCAGCCCCCGGAATCTATGGTACCTGCTTGCCCAGAACTCCAGAGTCCTCCAAGCACAGCTGGGAGCCAGGAGGCCACCACAGACCCCCCCCCCAGGACCCACCACACTGGTCCAGTGCACCCGGAAGCCGCAAAATTCCCTATCTGGGGCCCAGTGAGGGTCCCAAATAGCTGGACTCAGGGGAAAGTGTGTGGGGCACTTACATGAGGCCCCCAGCCTCTGGAACTGATGGCACCCACGTGCCTGCTCAGAACTCCAGAGTCTGCCAAGCATGGTGGGGAGTGCGGAGGCCACTGCAGGCCCGCTCAGGACCCGCCACGCTGGTCCAGCACACCCAGAAGCTGTAAAGTTTCCCATCTGGGGCTGAGCAAGGGTCCCAAACTAGCTGGACTCTGAGGAAGGTGCGGGGGGGAGGTGCACTTACACCAGGCCACCCAGCCTCTGAGACCAATGGTGCCTGCTTGCTTGCTTAGAACTCCAGAGTCCACCAAGCACTGCCAGGAGCAGGGAGGCCACTGCAGGCCCATTTGGGACCCACTGCGCTGGTCCAGCCCACCTTCTGGAAAATTAATCACCACAGATTTCAAATTCTCTTGCTAAGCAGACCTCTGTAAGTCACTGGTTTTTTTTTTTTTCTGCTTCAGAGAAAAGTAGACATTTCTGCTGCCATAATTCAACTGCAACATCACTGACATGGCACTGTTAAGAAGTTACTTTGTTTTGTTTTGAGACAGGACCTTCACAGATTAACCAAACTGGCCTCTAACTCCTGGGCTCAAACTCCTGCCTCAGTATCCTGAGTAGTTGTACACTACTCAAATATACACTACCACACCCAGCTTGTAAGAGTTCTTGAAAGACAGATAGATAGTAGCATCTGTAGCACTGTCACTTTTAAATGACTCATCAACACTTTTCCAGTAGCCCACAGCTGTAGGGACAGGCTGTGGCCCAGAAGATGAACAATGAAAACAAAAGGACAGACCATTTTATCTATCTACAAATCCTGCCACTACCTCCAAGTCAGAGAAAGTTGCCTTGTATTTTCTTTTGCTGCCACTGACTTTCTTTGTTTCTCTCTGTTGTTACTGGTACTGCTATTTGCTCTGACCTCTCCCACACACACAGACACCTGCCTTCCAAGGAAGAGCAGATGGGAGGGAAGAGGATGGAGAATGACCTTTATCATTATGTAAGACTCAAAATTGTCTTTATCATTATCTCAGGGTTCAAAATTGCACTGATGTTATTATACACAAAGGGTTAAAATGGGAGCTCAGTAAATTGTTTTATTGAAGTGGCTACACTATGATATTTATAGAGGGTATTGAATTATCTTAAAGCAAATGTGGCTTTTTAAAAATTTTGTAGTCTACTTTGCAATGGATATTTCCATATGTTCTCTTTTAGGCCACTGAATGGTTTTATACTCAAACATCCAGCAAGTGCTACAAAGAGGAAGATATTCTAAAGAATCAACCAAGTTCTCTGTGAGGCCAGAGGTCTTAAGCACAGAAAAAAGAAATGAAGCACATTATCCATGCAAGTGGAAATGTCAATGGCACAGCAAGAAACAATTCAGATTGCCCCCATGTGGCTTTACCAGAAGAGATATTTTTCATAATTTCTATCACTGGGGTTTTAGAAAACCTCATCATAATCCTGGCTGTGATCAAGAATAAGAATCTCCAGTTCCCCATGTACTTTTTCATCTGTAGTTTGGCCATTTCTGACATGTTAGGCAGCCTGTATAAGATCTTGGAAAGTATCCTGATAATGTTCAGAAACATGGGATATTTCAAGCCTCATGGCAGTTTTGAAACCACAACAGATGACATCATTGATACCATGTTCATCCTCTCTTTGCTTGGCTCCATCTTTAGCCTATTGGCAATTGCTGTTGACCGTTACATCACCATCTTCCATGCCCTACAGTACCACAGCATTGTGACCATGCACCGCACAATTGCTGTCCTGTCAATCATCTGGACCTTTTGCATTGGGAGTGGTATTACCATGGTGCTCTTCTCCCATCATGTCCCCACAGTGCTCACCTTCACATCACTGTTCCCACTGATGCTGGTCTTTATCCTCTGCCTCTATGTACACATGTTTTTGATGGCTCGTTCTCATGCCAGGAATATCTCTACCCTTCCCAGAGGCAACATGAGAGGAGCCATTACCCTGACTATTCTTCTGGGAGTCTTCATCTTTTGTTGGGCTCCTTTTATCCTTCATATCCTCTTAGTTACTTTCTGTCCCAACAACCCTTACTGTACCTGCTACATATCCCTTTTTCATGTTAATGGCATGCTGATCATGTGCAATGCAGTCATTGACCCCTTCATCTATGCCTTCCGGAGTCCAGAGCTCAGAAGTGCATTCAGAAGAATGATATCCTACAGCAAGTGCCTGTAGAATCACTGCTCCTGATTTAAAGATCCACTAGGATAATATCATCAAAAGATAGACCATGTCATAAGACAGAATAACATAACATACTGTTACAGATTTGAGGGTGTAACAGTGTCTACACCCTCAGAGTCTCCTAAAAGTGGTTTCTGGATTATTTCCATTTCAAGCAAAGAATTGAACAAAACAAGAAAAAACCATGGTAATATTTCTCAGTTATTTGAGATAGGAAAAATTAAATGTGAAGAGTAAGGGAGAAACTGAGATAGCTCGGACCCAGGAATAAAATCCAAGGAAGCAAGGAATCAAGAAATTTGGAGCAAAGGCTTTTATTTCAGGCCTGGCGATGCAGCCCCCTTAGGATCAACCCAGAGACTGCAGCAGCAGAGACTGAAGAAAGGGATTTTAAAAGCAAGAGAGAGAGAGAGAAAAAACCCTGCAGACCTGTTAAGCTGTTGACTTAGTCCTGACAGCCTCTGGAAACTGTAAAGCTGTCGACTTAGTTCTGATAACATCTGGAGCTTTTGGTGCATTTCGTTACTCCCATCCTGTGGATAAACATTATCTCGGAATAGCACATCTGCAATAACATGCGGAGAAGAAAGTAGAAAGTTAATTATCTTGGGACAGCTCATTAGCAATAACATGTAGAAGGGGGAGAAAGTTACAAGAAGCTGAAACTTAAGTTTTTACAAGGATTAGAAACTTAACCCTATCGGCACATACAGAACAAGAGGAGGTGCATTGGTTACAGTTAAGCCATAACAAAACTAGCTCTGTAGAGTGAAATTAGACTGAGTAAAAGAGAGGAAAAATAAAAACCAAAATAAAAATATAAATATAAAACAAAGGTAGACCCTGAGGGCATAGTGAGAGCTACCCTAAAGAGACACAATCACAAGTGCTTAATCATGATAGTCTTTTTGTTCATTCCATACTTCAGAAGTTCTCACACAATGGGGTTCACATGTAGGGTCCTCAGAATTGTTTTCCATACGTCCTGTGATCTGGTCATGCTTGCTCTCCCAACCAGCTTTGCCATGCCTTGCTTTCCTGACTCAATACCATCAAATACTAATGTTTCCAACCCCTTCTCTTTCCTATGGACAGGAGGACTACCCACTAATGCTCTCATACTAACAGTCTTCTTGTAAATATACGCAGTAGAACTTCATTCCTGGGGGATAAAATAACATGCCTGAAACAAGGATCAAATATCAAGCACAGAAACAAGGACAGAATATGAAGCACATATTGCAGTACAAACTTGAGAGCTACAGGTCAGGCCCAATAGTTGCTCCATAGATATCTAGCAAGTTTTCCTGAGAGGCCTTCTGGGCTGGAGGTCATGGCAGCCTGCCTCAAGAAGTTATAGTAGCTGGACAAGTGTGAGTTAGCTTCCCATTACTTTGGAAGACACACAGGATTAATCAATTTAAAAGGAGGAAAGGCTTACCTTGGCTCTCAGATCCAGAGGTGTCAGTCAGTAAGCTACCACCCAATTCCTGTGGGCCTGCTATGAGGCAGCCCAACATGGCAGGAATGCATGGCAGAGGCAGGGTTTTATCTTGTGGCAACCAGAAGCCAGAGAGAGACAGGAAGTTCTCTTCCTGTGTTCCCAGTCCTTGTGAAGGGCATGCTCCTAATGACCTCTTGAAGGTTCCACCACCTTCCAACAACATCAGGCTATGGCCTGAGCCTTCACTGCATGGATGGGTCTCCAGGGAGCCATTATCTGAAGCACAGCAGCAAACAACTCTGGGCAGAAACCATCAGGTCTACTGTAAACCAGGGGTTATGATAGCATCTATCTCCATGGCCATGGAATGATCAGTACCTTCTCTCCCACCCTCTGCCTGCATGCTTTCTTTAAAGCATTTCAACTGTTTCAAGAAGCATCCAGAGTATAAGTAACTATGTTAAATGCTCACTTTGGAGTTTCCAATAATAACAAACCTTCATCATGAGTGTTATCTGCTTATTCAGTTCTCCACTCAAATTTGTCAGGATGTAGACACAGGCCAGAGTTACCTGGACTTAAACTCTATACCTCTAAATTTTCTTGTGCTTTAGAAGCATAAAGATGAGAGGAGAGAATAAAAATTTAATCCATTTGGTTCCATATGGGGTTGCATAAAAGTCGAAGGAAAACTGATTATTTGAAGTAAGTTGAACAAATATTTGTGCATTATTACAAATACATTTTGTGAATATGAAAAGAGGCAGACACACATTTCATCCTACACTTGGCCTGTGAGAAAACCAAGAGCAAAACAACATACCAAGAAGCAAGTCTTTCTAAAGGCCCAAAAATGTGATGAGTAAGATTCCATCTGTTTCCCAGTTGACTCATAAAGGCAGATGCAGTCCCTGGAAAATTATATACTGTTCATCAGATACAGTCAAGATACTCAATGTGGGAAAATGGCACTGGAACAGGGATATAAGGACACACTGTTAGCTCATCCAGGTTTTATGGCTGCAGATGATGCCTAAAGCAGCAGCTAGTCTGGGTTGAGTTACTCAGGATGGAGAGGACCAGAGAAGCTAAGTGACAGTGGGACAGAGGAGTAGGGGTAGTGGCCTCAGGAAGAGCTCACATTTTGCCTGTTTCAGAGAAGCCTGGTCCTGGCAGATAAGAACTGGCTGCCCAAGATGGAAGATGTCGAGGAAGAGAAAGGCGGACAGACGTTGGGTGGGACGAGGTTTCCTAAAACACAGGAAGTCAGGGGAAGGCAATGACATGCTGAGCTGGCCAGTGGGGCTTAGACACTTGAAACATAAATGGCCTTTCTCAAGAACTCACATGCCCAACTTCAGTCAAGAACAGCTCAGCGTCATGGCCAATGCACCATGCTCATCCAACTCAAGTGTGCCAGGGCCTAGACATAGGCCAGGCTCAGCCAAGCAAGCAGAAGTTGTCTCCATGATGACTAAGGTTATATGAATCTGGGTGCATCTCCTGACAGGAGAGTTTGAGAAGACTGCCATGACCAAGCTGGACAGTTTGATATGAGCTTGATGTTGGGCACAAAGAAGGCAGCAGCCTCAGGAGAGGGGATGGGCATGTTTCCAGTGTTTCCCTGTGGCTCATTTCACCAGCTGAGCCAAGACTGCTGCGCATCTTCACTTGTTGTGTTCTATAGGAATCCTTTCTGGTCCTCCCCACTCTGAAGGTAGTGTATACTTCTAACATTAGACTGTTTATTAGTATATACTATAAATTTAAATTTAACATATAAATATAAATTTAATATGATATATTTAAAACTTTAAAATTTTTTGCAATAGGTCTGGAGGACTGAATATCTCTGCAAGCAGGGAGGGATCGCAGGTTCCTGAGGCACCTTGGCCTGTGGTGAGTGCCCAGCACACTCTGCCCAAATCTCAGACTGTTCCAGACCCCCCAGGCTTCTGGGTGCAGTGAAGTGGAGCAGTGGATTAGAGGCCACTACATCCGCCTCCCCATCCCGGCTACACTTGAGGTCTGCTGAGCTCCCGACGGGTGGGCAGGCCTACACTATCCCCCAAGCCCAGCCGCGCCTAGCCATCGGGGTGCAGAGGAGGAGCTGGGCAGATCTGGAGTGCCTGCAGAAGTCCCTTCCTTTGTCTGGAGGACTGAATATCTCTGCAAGCAGGGAGGGATTGCAGGTTCCTGAGGCACCTCAGCCTGTGGTGAGTGCCCAGCACACTCTGCCCAAATCTCAGACTGTTCTGGACCCCCCAGGCTTCTGGGTGCAGTGAAGTGGAGCAGTAGGTTAGAGGCCACTATATCCGCCTCCCCATCCCGGCTACAGTTGGAGGTCTGCTGAGCTCCCAATGGGTGGGCGGGCCTACACTATCCCCCAAGCCCAGCCGCGCCTAGCCATCAGTGTGCAGAGGAGGAGCTAGGCGGATCTGGAGAGCCTGGAGAAGCCCCTTCCTTTGTCTGGAGGACAGTGGATATCTCTGCAAGCAGGGAGGGATCACAGGCTCCTGAGGCACTGCGGCCTGTGGTGAGTACCCTAACCCGGCTGCGATTGAAGAGCTGTGGAGCTTCCAAGGGGCAGGTGGGCGCACAGTGTCCCTGAGGCCCAGCTTGTCTGGAACTTTGGAGTTCTGAACAAGCAGAGGAGGGCCATTGGTTCTGCAGGCCCAATGGCTTGGGGTAGCATGGTGCCAGAGTCACAGTAGCTGCAAACATAGAAGGGGATTTTCAACAGATCCTGAGGAAGCTTTCAAATAACACTTGAAACACAGAAATATAGGAAAATGACAAAACGAAAGACCAAATTACAACCTCAAACCTCCAGCCCATCTCAGGAAACCCTAGGAGGAATGTATTTAGAAGAAAATATACCCCATCCACCTCATATATCAGACACAATAGCTACTGAAGTTGACAAGCAACTCCAGGAAGCTTTAAAGAAATTCAAACTCGAAATAATTTCCCAGATAAAAGAAGTAATGATAAAAGAAATGAAAGAGATTCTAAATATATCTAAAGAAAACACAGATAAAAAATTGGAGCAACTAAACAAAAAGATAGAATCCCTAGATGAGCAATATAAGAAACAAACAGAATACATAATGCAGATGCACAGAGATATACAGGAAATAAAAAACTCCACTGAAAGTTGTAAAAACCGCCTTAATGAAAGTGAAGATAGAATTTCAGACCTTGAAGACAGGATTGCAGCTAGTGAACAGGAAAGGAAAGATCTTTGGAAAATAACAAGGAATCAGGAAACAACAATTCAACAACTGCAAGATGATGCAAAGAAGAATAACATAAGAATGATAGGGATTAATGAAAAAGAAGGAGACAACATAAAGGATATCAAGAGGATATTTAGAGAAGTAATAGCTGAAAATTTCCCAAGCATGAGATCAGAAACTGACATCAGGATCAGTGAAGCATATAGAACTCCAAATAGTCATAACCAAAATAAAACTACACCCAGACATATAATAATCACCATCCCAGAAATCCAACACAAGAATAGATTATTAAAAGCTGTCAGAGAGAAAAGACAGATCACTTATAAAGGAAAACCTATCAGAATCACAGCAGACTTCTCATCACAAACAATAAAGTCAAGAAGAGCATGGAGTGAAGTATTCCAGATCCTAAAGCAAAACGATTTCCAACCTAGACTGGTATATCCTACAAAACTATCATTCAAAATAGATGGTGAAATACGATACTTCCATGACAAAGAACAGCTGAAGAACTTCATGAACACCAAACCAACCCTGCAAAAAATATTGAAAGACAGTTTAGATACACAAAGGAAAAAACCACTAAGCAAAGCAAATAATTAAACAGAACAGAAAGATAAAGATGCAACAGCAGAGAGATAAGATTCCTTCAATTAACCAACATTTAACAGTAATAACCATTAATGTAAATGGTCTCAATGCACCAATCAAAAGAAACAGACTAGCAGAATGGATCAAGAAACAAAATCCAACCATATGCTGTTTACAGGAAACCCATCTAACCCAGAAGGATACTCAAAGACTGAAAGTCAAAGGATGGAAAACAATTCTTCATGCAGCAGGAATCCAAAAAAAGGCAGGAGTAGCCATTCTGTTTGCAGACAACGTGAACGTTAAACCAACAATGACCATAAAGGATAAAGAAGGTCACTACATACGCGTAAGGGGAAAACTGCAAGAGGAAGAGATAACTATCTTAAATATATATGCACCAAACTCCAGAGCACCCAGTTATATAAAACAATTATTAACAGAAATGAAAACTCAAATTATCAGTAACACAATTGTAACAGGATACGTTAATATGCCATTGACACCA